AAAGCCGATGAGGTGCAGAACCTCTAGTTTACCAAAATACTCCTCTGGATGATGTCCACACTGTATCTTCATGTTGTCATTCCATTTCACAACCAGGCGTTCTAGACTAGGAAATGTAGCCTGAGAAATTGACACGAGTTAAGAAGACAATCCAAACTTTAAATAAATCTATTATTCTTTGATAAATTTGTCATTTTTAAGTTATACAATAAATCTCGATTTTGGAAAAAAAAAATAATTTTTACGCTTATTTCTAACCATAAAAATTGACTTCCACATTTTTTTGTCATTGAAAAATCACTTCATCTCACATAAACTCATCTATTTTTTCTTTCCTAATTATTGTTTTGTTTTTGCAATTCTTCCATTTTTCTATTACTCCAATTTCAAGAAACAATAAATTATTATTTAGGTGATTGCTGTGTAAAAAATCTTTAATTATATAATCATATAGGTTAACTTCCAGAATATTCTTGTAACAAATTTTTTTAATTTGAAAACTATTATTCACTTAAATTAGATGAAAGACCTGAGTATTAAAATGAAAAAGAATTGATTTTTTAAATAGCTTTTTACTCATGATGGCCATAAATTAAATTACATGGAGCTTACTCCCAATATAGGATTAGGATAACAAAATTTTTGCTAGTATCAGAAAAAATGAGGGCAAAACATTTTTAAATTAGGGTGATCAATCTCTACAAGTAGGAATTCAAAACAAGGTTGAGATATTTTTTTACAAGTTCTAATAATTTTGTTTCTTTATCTTCAAAATAAAATAAAATTAACACACAGGGAAAACAAATGGAAAATTTTCTTTATTCTGTCTTCATATATTTACTTTTCCTATTTTCTTTCATTCATTTATTTTAAGAACAAAAATGGAGAGCGTGTATTTGTATAAGATATGTCCACTTTTTTCCTTTTGGACTTGATTGTACTTACCTTGCTAATCCAAAACATGAGATGTTGAGATTCCCTTTCAAGTTGGCTGTCTCTATGTGTCATCTCAGTGCTTGAACATTCTGAAACAACTATTTGTGCTCCATGACATTTGGTTACAACTAAACTTTCCAATGATGGCCATTCTGTGATGTGCGTTTGAGGGAAGAAACTCTTGAATTTTGGTAAGAGTCTAAGTTTCAGGTTTGTCACTTGAGAAAATACAAGCTCGGTGGCCTCTGTTTCCACCAAAGTCGATTGCGTGGCTAGCAGTTTTTGTGATCTGGTATCAAAATTGACTCTTTCAGAGTCAGAAATTTTTCCTAGAGAATCACAATTGGAGCAAAATGTTGCAAGTTGGGGTAGGTCATTAAGATTCAAGATCTTTAGTTTGGGGAACACCGTCTGGAAAATCTTTTCTTCTTCCACTGTCCCTTCTGTCAATATTACCACTTCCATCATCTCACATCCACCAATCCCGAGTGTTTTAAGCTGTGCAAAACTTTTAAGCATTGAGAATGTAAACAGATACTTCAAATTGGAACAGTTGACCACCTTCAACATTGTTAAATTTTGGGCAAATGAAGATATCGATGAAAGATGACTGTTCCAAATTTGCTTTGTATTGATTGAGGATAGAGTCAATGTCTTCAAGTTAGGAATCTCAACCTACAAAGAAGTTATAATTTCAGTAAAACTTTTATTCTTAAATCAAAGAAAAGTGTAAAAATGACATGAGAGCATAATCTTGAATAAGTGTAAAAATGACATGAGAGCATAATCTTGAATTTCATACCATATAAATTTTGATATAGAAAATTTTAGTTTACGAGGAAAAACATTACACATGTTCTTATTCTCGCTAAGACTTTGACCTTTGTGCATCAAATACATTTATGTCCATAATTATCGAAGTGATGTAGAAGAGTGGAAATTATACTCTATGAAAGAAGTGTAGTGAAGTCTTGCCCTTGTCCAATTTGTGAAAAAATATTAAAACAATAAAAAATAAAAAATAAAACTCACCTCATCACAAAAAAAGACCTCAATGAAGATATTAGGTTCTTTCTTGACAAGCAATTCCTCACTTTTTCCATCAGTTGTCTCTTTCTCTTGCTCACTTGAAAATTTAAAAGTGAATCTAACCATCTTTAGACAATCCTTTACAATAATTTTCTCCAGCATTGGAAACTTGAGGGTCTTACTTCCCACATAGAAACTTGACAACTTGGAGCAAGACTCTAATGAAATGGACTTTAGTTGTGGGAAAAATATTGAGTAAGATTCAACTACCTCTCCAACTCTTGTAGCCATGATCACTTGTTCTATTGCTGCACAGTCTTTTATCTTCAATTGCTTGAGTTGCCCAAGGCGCAATACCATGGAGGGGGTTAGAAGGTAGCTCAAGCTGCTACAATTGTTAACTTCTAGAAATTGAAGCTTTTTGAAAGGTAATATTAATTCTTCCGAATTCCTTTTCCAAATTTGAATTAACTCAGAAGACTCGGAGAGTGTCAAACTTTCAAACCCAAAGTATCAAACCTATAAAACCCAATAGATTAATTATCTTGGTATAACACAGAACCCAATAACAATAACAATAATATTAATCAAAGAAAGAAAATACATTAATAACTCTATCCAGTTAATCACAAAAATCGAATTGTAGAAATATACAAAAATATTCCTTTTAAGTTTTTGAAATTACTGTTCTTTCCTCTC